TGTCTGTCTGTTACGCTTTCCCGCTTAAACCTCGCAACCGATTTTGATGAAATTTGGCATAGAGATAGTTTGAGTCCCGGGAAAGAACATAGGATAGTTTTTATCCCGGTTTTTGAAACAGGGACGCGCGCGATAAAGTTTTTCTGTGACAGACAAAATTCCACGCGGGCGAAGCCGCGGGCGGAAAGCTAGTATTGTATATAAGGAGAAACTGACTGCCTTAGTGACATATCAACGCACAGCCTAAGCGGCTAAACGTATGCACTTGAAATTTGGAAGGGACGTAGCTTAATTACCGTAGAGGTGCACTAAGAAAGGAATTACCGAAATTCCCAAGGGAACGGGAATTAGCGGGAAAATATTTTTGTATGAAAAATCTAAACCGCTTAAGTTAAACGCTTGAAATTTGGCATGTAGGTACATTAGTAAACTGAAAGCTTAGTTACAACAAGGAATTCCCGAAATTCCCACGGGAACGGGAATTATCGGGAAAAATCCTTTTGTATGAAAAATGTAAACCGCGTAAGATAGACGCTTGAAATTTGGCATGTAGGTACCTTAGTAAACTGAAAGCTTAGTTACAACAAGGAATTCCCGAAATTCCTACGGGAACGGGAATTATCGAGAAAATCCTTTTGTATGAAAAATCTAAACCGCCTAAGTTAGACGCTTGAAATTTGGCATGCAGGTACCTTAGTAAACTTAAAGCGTAGTTACAACAGGATATTGCAAAATTCCCACGGGAACAAGAGTTAGCGGGAAAAAACATTTGTATGAAAAAATCTAAACCGCGTAAGATAGATGAAGGGGGTAAAACGGGATCCACGCGAACGAAGTCGCGGGCGGCCGCTAGTACAGTATGAGTCTTGAGAAAGTGCACATAATATGAAAATAGGCGGAACTACTAAACCTATTTTTATCGACAAAAAAAGTCAAATAATATCTGAGTTTTTATGATTTATTGACATTTTTCTGGGTATTTTATGTATTTTTTTAGTATCGCCTGTTATTAAGCACTAGCGGCCGCCAACGACTTCGTACGCGTGGATCCCGTTTTACCCCCTTCATCTATCTTACGCGGTTTAGATTTTTTCATACAATGTTTTTTCCTAACTCCCGTTACCGTGGGAATTTTGGAAAATCCTGTTGTAACTAAGCTTTAAGTTTACTAAGGTACCTTCATGCCAAATTTCAAGCGTCTAACTTAAGCGGTTTAGATTTTGCACACAAAAGGATTTTCCCGCTAATTCCCTTTGCGGTGGGAATTTCGGGAATTCCTTGTTGTAACTAAGCTTTAAGTTTACTAATGTACCTACATGCCAAATTTCAAGCGTCTGACTTAAGCGGTTTAGATTTTTCATACAAAAGGATTTTCCCGATAATTCCCGTTCCCGTGGGAATTTAGGGAATTCCTTGTTGTAACTAAGCTTTAAGTTTACTAATGTACCTACATGCCAAATTTCAAGCGTTTAACTTAAGCGGTTTAGATTTTTCATACAAAAATATTTTCCCGCTAATTCCCGTTCCCTTGGGAATTTCGGTAATTCCTTTCTTATTGCACCTCTACGGTATTTAAGCTACGTCCCTTCCAAATTTCAAGTGCCTACGTTTAGCCGTTTAGGCTGTGCGTTGATCTGTCACTAAGTCAGTCAGTTTCTCCGTTTAATATTATGTTCTTTTTTAACTACAATGTCGTTTATATAAATTACATTGATGTTTTTTAATATTTCAGTTCTTTTTTGTTTATTTGAGTAATATTTGATTTTAATATTGATTTGATTTTAAAGGTGGAAGAAAAAACGTAAGAAACTATTAATAGCAGGGTTACTAGCCAATGGATGGCTAATAATGGCTATTAATAGATAATAATCAGTTATTATCCAAACTAGCTGGCTACAAACCCATCTCTAGCCACGCTATATTATAATGTACTAATACGCTCGTACTGCATAATAATTTTTTAACCCTCAAAAAATAATAATTTTCCTCTTTTCCCCAGTAGTAGTGTTTCCCTTTCTTTATTNAGCCCACCTTTGAAGGCGACTCGCCGCCGTGGTAGGTATTCCTACATTAGGGCCAAATATGCTCACTAGGGGTTTGTGGTCTGTGCGTAATATAAACTTTCTCCCGTACAAATATTGATGGAACTTCTCTACAGAAAATATAATCGCTAGTGCCTCTTTATGAATCTGACTGTAATTTGTTTCCGCCGAAGTGAGTGCGCGCGACGCGTACGCGACCACCCGCTCCGAGCCGTCGGGCGCGCGCTGCGCCAGCACCGCGCCCAGCCCGTGCGCGCTGGCGTCGCACGTCACTACAGTCGGCCACGCTATATTATAATGTACTAATACGCTTGTACTGCATAGTAATTTTTTAATCGTCAAAAAATAATTATTTTCCTCTTTTCCCCAGTAATAGTGTTTCCCTTTCTTTAATAAGTTATACAGTGGTGATAAATATGATGCAAGGTTTTTAACAAATTTCCCATAAAAGTTCACCATGCCTAAGAATGATTTTAATTCCGTAGTATTCCGTGGCGGAGGCATGTCAATTATTGGTTTAATTTTTTCAGGATTGGTTCTTAGGCCCTTCTTANTCTTTATTAAGTTATAAAGTGGAGATAAATATGATGCAAGGTTTTTAACAAATTTCCCATAAAAGTTCACCATGCCTAAGAATGATTTTAATTCCGTTGTATTCCGTGGCGGAGGCATGTCAATTATTGGTTTAATTTTGTCGGGATTGGTTCTTAGGCCCTTCCTATCTATAATAAATCCCAGATATTCTACATGTTCTGATAAGAAATTGCATTTACTCTTTTTAATTTTAAGCCCGTTGGTCTGTAAAATTTCTAAAACTTGCTCAATAGTTTTTAAGTGACTAATTATATTTTTGCTTTTGATTAAAATATCGTCGTAAAATATTACTACATCTGATATACCTTTAAATAGATTTTCCAAAAACTTTTGAAAAATTCCTGGGCTCGAAGAAAGACCGTACACCAAACGGTTGTAAGTATTTGAACAGTCCTCGATGGGTGTTAATAACTGTATACTTTCTAGATGACTCATCGAGAATCAGCTGAGAGAGATCTAATTTAGTAAAATATTCGTTCCCACATAGGTCACTAAACAAGTCCTCACCTTTTGGAACCGGGTATCTGTCGACCATCAAGACACGATTCAAGGTTACCTTATAGTCCGCGCATAGACGTATACCGTAGACCGCGTTACAATATATACCACTATCTTTCTAGAAATATTCCAAGATACGATGCGTTGACCAAGCTTCAGTCTTCAATCATGATCCTTAGAGCCTTAAATCACTCGGATAATAATTGAATGATGTGACATACTTTCGCATCTCGTAGATATCGTGGCAATACACAAACACAGTATAATACCCTGTATCTTCATATTAGAGATATGCAAGTTCGTTCGCAAGTACCCGAATCTGTATACTAAACGAGATGGTAATATTAACAAATATCAACTTCGCAATAGAAATAAATTAGCACTACCGGCCTCCATACTGAAACACCACTCTTCTAGCCCATTAGTAATGTCCATTAAAATATACAACAAACTGCCAGATTACTTAAGAAATATAAAAGATAATAAACACTTTCAAAACGATCTCAAAAATATACTAATAAAAAAATGCTATTACACTATAAAGGAATTTTTAGAAGATAAAAATATCAAATAGAATACACAAAATTAAATATCTAAAACAAATATAATATTAAAACAAATTACATAACCTATAATTAAATATATATTACAGTAATATTATATTACTTATAATATAATAATACACTGGATACAATAATTTAATATTTATTCTAATTAATAATATTTAAGAATCTAGTTTAATACAATANAAGCAGCCGTCGTCGTAATTGTCCTCTACCGTGCCGCCGCCGCCGTGCTGATGCACCCAGTACGTGTCCGCGTTCCGGTCGCTCCCGGAAACATGTCCGGCTTGGCCGCGGCTTTTTCCGCGCGTCGTTGCTGCGCCACCGTTGCCGCTACGCCTTCCACGCCATCCTCCGCGACCCCTTCCAGTGAAGGTCACTCCCCGTGGTTGGTAATTGCTAGGTGCCCTCGTCATTTCGGGTCTTGCACTTGCACTTTTTTCCGGACACATCCTTCTTAGGTGGCCTAAATTCTTACAGAAACTGCACTCGAAGTTTTTATATTTACAGTTTTCTGTCTTATGTCCGTTATCTCCGCACGCCATGCACTTTAAATTATTCTGGATCTTATTCACCGTGACTGTAGAACTAATGTCGCGATCGACAGCGCATGCATTTTTTTCGGCCGTTTCCAATGTTACCGCCAACTTGACCGCCCGATTAAATGCTATGCAGTCATCTTCCGCGAATAACCTTTGTCTCGTGGTTTCACTTGTTATTCCACACACGATTTGGTCACGTAAGTTTTCTTCTAGGGTCGAGCCGAAATCACAGGGTTTTGCGAGTCTCTTTAGCTCAGTGACGTAATCAGCTACCGATTCTCCGTTTGCTTGTCGCCGTTGCCGAAATAAGTATCGTGCCGCCAAGATTGATGGTTTAGGTTGTAGATGATTCTTCATAAGAGTAACTGCTACTTCATAAGTTAACGTCGATGGTTTTTGTGGACTCGATAATGTAGACAATAATTGATACGCTTCCTCCCCCATCACCGCAATTAAAGTGGGTAATTTGAGGTTATCTTCAATTTTGTTCGCAAGAAAATACATTTCTATCCGCTCACAATACACTGTCCAGTTCCCAGATTTCACATCAAATTCTTGAATTCGTCCCACGCCCCCCATGATAAAATAAAACAATATTTTTGCTATTTAACGCACACAACAATTTTCGCCCGGTCAGTTTGTGACCACGTGAGTCCGCCTGTCGCCAGTGACAAATAAAAGGCGTGCATACTGTTCGACATTTATTGCCAGACTGGTTTATAGAATACCCGCGTTACAATATATACCACTAACATAAATACTGATAGGTCTTAAAATGTTTATTTGAAGTTAATTAAGTGAAATATTGAGGCTATGGGATAATTGATTTGAGGTTATGTTTTTTTTGAGCTTGGCTATCTATCATTCTTATTATCAGTTATAATTATTGATTACCTACTTCAATTTTTTCAGTTGCCAAATGATATAGAAAACTATATGGAGTATCATGTGATGGGGGGTTTTGTATCAAAAGTACGTATGACGCCAGAATGTATGCCCCATAAATTTATGTGCCAACCGGACAGGAAACAAACACCTGCCACAACAAAGCGACCCTATGTAGCTAACAAACAAATAATGATTATTCTTGAAGAGGATGAAAAGGGATTCAAAGAAAAAAAAGTTAGCGCAGAACAATCAAGTTTTGAAGAAACTGCATGCAGTAGTTTAGGTATCTATTAATAAATTTCCTCAATGATAATGAACCAAATGTGTTTGACATTAAGGTGAGAACCGATTGAAGAAATTTGACAGATTTGTAAACATTTATGTTGGTCCACTCAAAACTATTTAGATTTTTCTGTGTGTTTCATCAATATCATTATTATAACATTGCTTGATTACCAAATATTTATTTTACAGTTCAGCAGAATGTAGAGGAGTTCCCCAAATAACACCCATTTCGGTAAATCAGATGGCGTCATGACTGAAGCCGGTTCAAGTGTTTCAACATACTGTCTCTACATCACCATTTAAATTCAAGCATTGTGGTGTTAATAGTAGCCCTTCCTTAAGACCAAGTGTAAATTATTTGAGAAAAAAGTTAAAAAATTGAACAATCAGTGACACTTCTTATTACTCCCTCTATAACTCACACATAGGGCCCGGATTACTGATATTTTATCTATACCCAAAGCAATACTGCTGCCGCGGCTCGCGGTACACGGGACGTGCGATCTGTGGACTGAGTGTGAGTTTACACCAAACGTCCTTACTAGTGAGCGCGTTAAAAATGTATCAAATTTTAGTTCATGAACGTTTCCGCCGCTAGGGGCGCTGTACAATCCGTCATACATTTAATGACATTTTTTACAAACTCACACTAGACCCTTTGGCAACGTCGCGCCGCAGCTTGGGTATCTGTAAAATTACCAATACCTTAATAAACTGGTACTTCATGATAGCAATATTGTTTACAATAGTGATATTACTGCTCACACAAAATTATCTTTCTGTAAAATCTCTTCAAATGGAGTCTACATCGAACAGCAGTGAAATTATAGAGGATGACAAAAGGAGAAAAGACGTTAAAGATAACTAAATAATATGTTTACGTAAATAAAAAGTATCGGCCAACTAACAGAAAATAATTAGAGATATTTACTTTTCAATGACCTCATAAAGGTAGCAGGAAGGCGCTGGATGCTGGCCACTACCAACTGGCCTTTGTTGAAATCATGGGGGAGGCCTATGTTCAGCAGTGGCCGTCTTCTGACTGAAATGAAGATAATGACGGATATTTTCTTTGTTTCAGGAGAGAATGAAAAAAAAGATGCGACGCTTAAACAAGAGCATACATCTAGGATTGAATTAGAACCAGTTGACCCTTTGCCAGAGTCTAATCTTAAGACGGAATCTGTAGAACCTGAACCCGATTTAGGGCCTGATTCTGAGCCTGAGTTAGAACCTGATTCCGAGCCTGAGTTAGAACCTGACCCTGAGCCTGAATTAAAGCCTACATTGGAGCCTAAGTCTGAGCCTGCTAGTGAGCCAAAGCCAAAGTGCACACAATGTCAGAAAGTTTTATTACGGTGAGTGTAGCAACCATTTTACTTCTCTCGCTGTTCGTTCGTTCGTTTCCAGCCCGTGGTCGCCACACAAGAACTTAGTTGTAAACTCACTCAAGAAATTCTCTCGCTGTACCTGTATTTGTAAGCTTCAATTTTCCGTCTATTTAAGGTTCAAAGCGATAAATAGATACCTTATTTACTACCGTAGGTTCGTGTTCTTGTGCGTGGAGTGTAACGCGCGCTCGTGCTCGGCGTGCGACGCGCGCGGGCTGCACGCGGCGCACCTCGTGCTGCGCGCGCCCGCAGCCCGCCCTGAGGTGAGCTCGTCCGCGACACTCTCTGTAGTCTACAAACCAATCTCTCATCTCTGAGCCCGTTTAGGCGCGATTGGTCCAATAGGCTAGTTGCCTAAAAAAATTTTTTTAGTCCGTAATGTTTAATATCAAAAAATATTGGACACATATATTTCTATTTGTCAATCTAACAAATAATTACATAGTTATGGTGCGTTGAAGTTGCGCACGANAGCATAGATATAATACATCATTATGCTATAGACACTACAACCCTTTCCTTGTTTTAAAGAAAATAATTATTTCATGGAATAATAATTTAAATAAAATAAAAATAATCCACTTTAAAGTACCGTATTTAGTAATTAACGTTTTTTGCGATTTCATGCTATCAAAATCTAAAGGTAAGTTGATAGTTAAAAGTGGATAAAATATAGTTGGTAAATGTGTAATTATGCTCTATCACATTTTGCTAGTTTGCAAAGTGCTAGGTCTGCTTGAATTATTCCTTTCAAGGCTGCACTTTACTTTATCCCATAAAACATCAATTTTAACACCTATCTCTTATGTGGGCACCAGATTTGAACCAGGAACCCAATATTATTTGAACTGCTATTATTTTTAGTATAAAAATATATTATTGAGTAAGTGCTCGAACGCTCATACCACAGCACATTCTTTTCAGTCTGGCAACAACGGCGCTCACCAGTTTTATCCCCAAAACGTTGTTTTGTGGTGCCTTGTCATTGCACTATNTGCGATGGCCAAGTCAATATATTTATGTAAAACGTTAAAGATTTCCTGGCCTGGACTTGGTATTACATGGATCTCACAACTTTTTACCGTAGAACAACTGAGTTGCGAGACTTGGTTTTTTTTACAAGTATTGTTTTTGATGGGATCACTTTTGTCACGAGAGTAAGTATTTATTTATTTATTTTAAACTTACATGCACATAGAACGGTGTTCATAAGGCGGACTTAATGCCTTTCGGCATTTTCCTCCTGTCAACCTTAGGACCTGTATTGTACACCTTTATCTCCGCCATTAGACCATTATTTGGCTCGCCTACGCACACAGCACGACCTGCCCGCACCACGGTCGGACGCCGAATGCCCCCACCGCTGACTGGGCTGTGACGTATGCGCTCGAGACAAATGTCTATACACTACATCCCTTCCTTGTTTTAATTTGAAATAATTACAATTTATTATTTAATTAACTTTTGAGGCGCTTCTTTATTAGGCGCCTCGTTTTAATCATTTGATCATTATTGCTTCACTGTTTTACTATTTTCAATATCCATAATATTACTATTAGCTTCTGATTAATCACCCTCATTCCGGTCCATCACTTTCCATTGTCCCAGTACTCTTTTTTTTTTTTTCTTTCTTTTTTTATAGTTTTGTATGTATTTGAATATCCTCCTATACTTTTAGTTACTGTGTGTAATGTCGCGATTCAAACTCAATTTACTTTCTCTAGTCATATTTTTAACACGCCTTTATTAGGTCGACTTGCAAGTCTTTTAACGATCTATGTAATAAAGTCTAAGAATCTGAATTACACGCACTTCTGATGATACATCACGAAAATTGGCAATTAAATGTACATTTATATGACAATATAATACTATGGCTCCATCGAGCCGATCCGATGATGGGACCAAAAAGTGGCTGATAGAACCTTGGATTGCCTTTTAGTCAACATATCGAGTTTGGCCTCATTAGATTCGTCTTAAGATATTCTGTTTATCTACAAGCGTGTTTTTAGTTTTTTGAAACAACCATTTATGCAAACTTTATCCCCTGGTTTTAACTCGCATTTTTTTTTCTTTTCTCTTCCTATCCGTATATACCCTACATTATTCCTTCATTTCCTTGTCCCTATGCTTTGCCTCCACTGAGTCACTTGAGATGATAGCATAGATATAATACATCATTATGCCATAGACACTACAACCCTTTCCTTGTTTTAAAGAAAATAATTATTTCATGGACNATTCATCAGAATAACGTAACCTATCGATAGGTATTTTTTTCAAAAAGAAATTATGAAAAAAATCGCTATGTCCATAAATCGCAATTTCGCTCCATAGTGCGACGTCACAACGTGCGGCATTTTTAAGCAAGCGTTGACGTCACGGGCCTCTTCTTATGAACTTTGGGGCGCTTTATCTCTTTAAATTTTCATTAGTTTTAAAAAGTGAAAAATACGTGTAGAGTATTTTTTGATAAGTTAACTGACGGACTAATTAAAACTCTTGCTTTTTGACCCAGGCAACATCCCCATTCGCAATGAGGGCTATCGTATTAGCGCTCACCAGTTGGCGCCACTGTAGAGTAAGGTCCTGTCACTTGCTAGTAGCGAAGACAGTGGCGCCGGCTGGTGAGCGCTAAAGTGGTAGGAGTACTATCGCATTTGCACTCATCAAGATGGCGCCACTGTAGAGTAAGGTCCTGTCAATCGCCAGGGGTGCCAACTGTTAAGTATAAAAACGATAGCCCTCATTGGGTCAATCGTGAAAAATTCACAAATTCGCGATTAGTCCAATTCGCTATTTGTTCAATTCGCGATTGGTCCAATTCGTAATTGGACCAATTCGCTTTTTTCTGCAATAGTAGTAAAGTTGAATAACCTCCTTATTTCTTTCATTTTGGATATCCTTTTATTTTGGACCAATTACGAATTGGCCCAATAGCGAATTGGACCAATCGCGCCTAAACGCTCTGTGCCAAACCTCCAAGTAACATTGAAACTTTTCCTTTTCAATAGCACTAATTTTCAATTTTCCACGACCAGAGCGAGTTGAAGTTGGTGCTGAACAAAATTCGCGACGCGCTGTGTCTGGATGTTGAGGAAACGTCTCAAACGAACCCGGATCAACCGGTCGAAGAGTCGCCCCAAGAACCGGAATATGAGTGAGTAGAATAGATAAAATAGTTAATTTGCCACACACAATATTTCAACTAAAGTAAAAGACAAGTGCGACAAAAAGGCAAAAAGTACTCAGTTTTATTCTTCGTCGCTACCTTTTTTTTTTGTTCCGGCAGAGTAGAACCTTTTCCATAGGACAAATGCGCGAATATGCCTCCTCAACTCGTCTCGCCAAGGTGGGGAGTATAACTAAATCCTCCATTTGCCTCTCATAACTAGAGGTTCTCCTGCAGCAGAGACTAAATGACCTTATGATGATGTTATCAATCTATTTGTTCAAATGTTGAACCATCAATGTTGTCAACAGATCTATCAAGATGGAGATAGAATCGGAAGAAGACGACCCTTTATGGCTACTGAACGCGTCGGCTCCTGCTAATACTGATGCAGAAACCATTGTTCCTGACATAGAGCATCAGATTCCGGTAAGATACGCCGTTTCACTGCTTGTTAGGTTGGTTTTTCTCGCAGATCACAGAAACTAAAGGGAGATGTGACAAGGGGGCGGGGCCGGTGTCGCAGCCATATGCCCAAAAACAGAACACATTGCTCGTGACAGCAGCGACGTCATAATATAAACGGCTTACATTGCTTGCGTAGTACTAAAGATTATTCGAACGTTGAGTACAGATAGCACAGTGGATAATGAGCACATATTTTGATTACTTTGTGTGTGTGAATTTCTAATGCGACACTGAGTTTCGAACTCAGCGCATTAGTTGGCATCTCTCTATATCTCTATGGTGTTTCTTGTATAACTATCCTGCCAATAATACAGGGGTTGCCCGGGATTGAACGATGCAGTCGGGCTATTGTTGTCTGTAAATTATTTTCAGTCTGTTCTATTTTGAAAACAAAAAATATAGTCCGATAATGTGCTTTCTCTACATGTAAAATTATCACTGTCACGGGATTTTGCAAGAAAAACACTTGGTAAACATTTATATTTTACCCTCCCGAGTCCCGACGATTCAATTCGGTCGCACGAGTCATGGTCGCGCAACTTTTCTTTACATGTGTATTGATGTAATACTTTTTTTAATTGCCACTTGTAAATGTACTTACTAATAGCCCTCATTACCCAATTCTTGCATAAGACCTATAGAGAAATGAGAGTGTCTGAAATGATTTTCAGACACTCTCATTATTCTCGCGCAGCCTGATTATTCTCAGGTAGCATTAGCTGAGCCACCTCCAATGAGGGTTTTCGCTTCGCGAATGAAAAATCCGCCAGATGGCAATACGTAGACGCGTGGTCCAAATGCTGCATGATTTGTTATTTTTGACATGACATTGACAGATATGTCAAAATCCACCAATCACGCAGCAGTCAGACTAGTCGTGGATGTGGGATCCACGTCCCGCCATCTAGCGGATCTTTCATTCGCGAAAACCCTCATTGCTTTCTTATACTATGTCAATCAATCAACATTATGTAACTAGCTAAGTAAGTTGTAGAAGCAATAAAGGACTTTATTCATTTAATACTCTTGCTCATGGCTTGCAGCAGTTGCCTTGGCCGGAGCCCGCAGCAGCTGAGGGCAGCGGCCTGCCCTTCGCCGGGCCTGCGTCGGACTCCTCCTGCACGCTCACGGCCAGTTCCCCGTCCGACAGCTCCAGCGACGACGACCAGGCCCGTCCCACCAGGCCCTCCGCGCCCCCCACCAGGCCCCGCTTCAACGACGAAATGAACCGCTACATCGTCCGGACCTACTACACGCTGAGCCAAACCGAAAAGAGCCCATTAAAAATATTCACCCTCATGAAACAAGTGTTCGCCATCGCATTCCCACACATGAAAGTCCACCGATCGAACCTCCAATCGCAATTCTCACATATCTTTATAAAAAAACTGTTCACCGATGACGAGATTCAGGCGATGAGGAATGAAGTTCGCGGCAACTTCATAAGTGCTAATAACAATGAAAAGAATGTAGTGAGTGCCAGCAAACTGTTATCTGGCAAAGGAAGACAGTTGGAACTGTTGACGGTGAGGTCCGGGATGGTAGTTACGGGCTTGCCAGACAAAACGAGTGAAGTGAACCCGAGGCCTTTTGTGAGAAAGGTTGTAGTACCGATACCAGTGTCGAGTCATAAAACCAGTGAGCCGTTTAAATACCCAAGGGTGAATATGCAAGTGCGTACAGTAGTTGGTTCATCTCAGCAGCAGATGCCACAGAACTTGCGTGGCTCTGGGCCTTATGTGAGAAAGAAAGTAGTACAAAAACGAGTGTCGATAAATAAAACTAAAGCGAAAAAGCGAGTGCGTACAGTTGTGAAGGAATCTAGTGATCAGAAGTGTTCAGGACAGTTGAATCCGGCTCCAGGAATAAGTGATTCATTTCCGCAGCAAAGCCAGAGCTTGCGTGGGAGGACGCGCCGGCCGCCGGCGCGGCTTCTGACATGAGTGTAAACATGTCAGACATTGCAATATAGTCCAAATAGTAATTTGGGTTAGTAGTAGTTTCGCACGATTTTCCTACGCACGAATATGCGAAACGTCCCCTTTCAATAATAATTTTTTTTAGTAGGCGTTTCGCCCGGATTTATCAAAAGTATTAAAAACGGGTGCGAATCGACCCCTTTGAGAACTAGTAGTATGCGATTACTAGTTCTCAAAGGGGTCGATTTCGCACCATACTAAAAAAAAATATTATTGAAAGAGGACGTTTCGCACATTCGTGCGAAGGAAAATCGTGCGAAACTACTACTAACCCAATAATTTTAGTGTTTGTTGTCATCTTACTACATTTGCCTGACATGTGATTTTAACAAAATACTCATCAGTATCTCTAGTACCTATAGATACTGTTACATTACAAGTCTTGTTGATTAGTGATGTCTTGTCGCATTGTCTAACGCCCGTATTGACAAACGATGCTTGCTTAAGTGAAGCACCAAATCGAACGCACAGCGATGAATAGAGCTATGATTGGTTCACCCTGTGCGTCAACGCGCACTGTGATACCTCATAGTAATGTTTGTGAATACGGGCGTAAGTAATTTGATGATAATGAATAATGATGGCTGTAAAATGAATTAATTAATATAGTATTGACTGATTTAAAATATTTTAAGTATTTGTTTCAATTATCTTTGTTTAATTTATCTAGGAATAATAGCATCTTATTATTAGCAATAGCAACCCTTCAAATGTTTTTTTATCTTTCTCACATACAATACATTTCAATAATACTAATAGTTTTTAGGCAACAAAGCCATTAAAATGCAGACGCTGTGGCTCACAAGCGCACAATGATTATTTTTGTCAATTTATGTCAACGAAATATAAAAATATTCTGAATACTATGTATTTTTTAATATTACATGTTATTGCAGTCACTATGTATTATTATATCGTGATTGAAATAAAAATAACGTATTATAAAACATAGAATTTTATTTTTTTAAGTATTTAGATACATACAACACTGTGCCCAAACAACCCAAAAGTATGATAAATCTGTGGCAATCGACAAAAACTCCTAACTTTTACCAATGGCAGTTCGCAAATGTTGGTTTTGGTACAAAACAATTACAAAAATTTTAGATTAAGTAAGAAGACAACACTGTATTTCCATAACGACCTGCCCGCATCCAAGTACTTCCCGCGACCTTCACCATCGTCGGTCCACTTAGTCATTGCGTCGTCATAGCATTGCGTCTTCTAAATCGTGGGCGCCACTCGAACTTTTCTGCTCAAGCGGCCATCAGCTCTGCGAGCTATGTGCCCGCCCTCTGCCACTTGATTTTATTTAGCAATTCTGCGGGCTATGTGTGTTTCTTTCTTTCGATCCATCGTCCTTTGGGTCGAACGTAGTGCCTTTAAGAATTTCCATATTACATGGGCGATCATTTATCCCAAAAATGTCGTTCCCGCTTATTCCTTCCTCGATAATGCGTCCTGTCTTTCGGTCAAGTGTCTATTCGCGCAAACGGCCATTTGCGCACTTAGTGTCCGTGCGGGCAAATATCTTTTCGCGCTTGTGCGTTCGCTCAAGTGTCTTTCTTTCGCGCATTTTTTCCCTCAAGTATACCACCCTTTAAACTGGGATCCTTTAAGTTCAGAATGTCCATGTATCTAGTCTGATGGCTCCTGTTTGACAGGATGCTGATCTTCCTTGGTTGATCTGAAATATACATTAATTTGGGCATTATTATGGCACTTCTGAAGTAAAAATACTCATTTTTAGCCTAGGCGCAGTCCACTAACTTTTGGTTGACCGATAGTAGGGCCCGATTCTAATTTTGTATGAAGAATCGGCCGATACCAAATTGTTGTAATGTGCGCACTTTCATACATCTCCATACTGATCAACAGCCCGACCTAACTATCGGCCAACTAAAAATCGGTAGTCTACGCGTAGGCCAAGTGCCGTTCGTTTCGGTTACAGAAATTTAAATATTTTTATGCAGACACCAAATCAACAAATCGCTTAGCGTTTTCTATAGAATATCACAAAATTTCATACAATTTGAATTTGTTGTGTATTTGGTTCCTTAAAAAATCGCAAAAAATGTTTGCATGGAAAAATGAATTTTCGTGAAATTCTCCATACAAAACGCTAATTTCGTAGGTAAGGACCTAATATTTACTTATTAAAGGTAAACATAATCAACTTACCTATTTGGGTATGGTGGAGGGTCCCCGGGTTTCCTCTTCTTGGTCGGCGGGGGGTCGGCGAGCGGGTCGAAAGCCTCGATCTTCACTTCAACTGCTTCTGGCACTATCTGCAATGAAGATAGTGTTTTCTTAATATAAAAATTGTGGAAGTAGAAGAAATAATTAACCCCCTTACTAATAATACTTACACGCTCGTTGAACAGTCTTTTAAAGTGACGTATAGTATGGAAATGTCATTTTAAAACAGTGTTCAACAACTGCGTAACTTTTTATTAGAATGGGGTTTAAATTATTAGTAGATGTAAACGGCTTTCTCTCACGAAGACATCCCGTTTATTAGTTTTCGTGTTTTTGCAGTGTCACGCAAAAAACCGATCCGTTCTAATTGGGAATTCATGGAATGGAAAATATCATTTGAAGCGCCACCATCATGACAAACGTAAAATGTGACGCTGCAACTGCGCTTCTAGAAATTGTATGGAAGGTAGTGATGTAGCTAGCGCGTCACAGTGAAGACACTGCTGCGCATCCCGCCTCTAATTTGAAGGCGCTTTACCATTTAAAGTTGGTAAATAAATGTTGGGAATGACTGGAAAATCTTAAGATTTATCGTAGTCAGGACTTTTGCAGTAACATACCATTTTTTTAGGGTTGGATCCGCCCCTATCATCATCATTATCATTTCAGGCATAGGACATCCACCGCTGAACATAAGCCTCCCCCAATGCTTTCCATGTTGCCCGGTTGGTAGCGGCCTGCGTCCAGCGCCTTCCTGCTGCCTTTACGATGTCGTCGGTCCACCTATCCGCCCCTAATTTAAATAATATTCTGCAGCCTGAATATTACATAAAGCCTGAATAATTTACCTGAGAGGCAGCACTCGTGACGCGGTCTTCGTAGGCAGTCTGTAGGTCTCCCTCGTCCACTTCGATCTTGATCTCCGCGTATCTGTTGGTTCGGATGCAATTCGATATAAATGACAAAAATATAACCCTGTTTGAAGTACAAAATTAGCTATTTTTGATATCTTTTAACGATTGTAACTTCGCCTAAACAACATTCCAAGGGATCCACCCTACAAATGCCTATAAGTCAGATATTCAGAATACTTATAGCAGTTTCCTGAGCTCAAACTGGTTTTAAATGTTTAGTTAGCTGTAAGTGTTGTAAATCTGTCTTTTCAACTTTAAATTAGCAATGAAAACTCCTAGGCTTGTGTAAGACGTATTTTTTGTACCTATGCTTGGATGTTTGATGCTCTTTCACGCAAAAACTACTGAACGGATTTTGATGAAACTTTACAGTATTATTGTTTATAACTATATATATATATATAATTTATGAAGATCTGTGACAAACTAAATTTCACGCGGGTGAAGCCGCGGGCAAAAGCTAGTGTATTATAATAAAAGCTGTAAGTGTTCCTAATAAGTAATTTAAAAATAAATAAATAACAGTGCCGGATTAAACTAGGTACTTGATGCCAATCGTAATGAGACTTGCACTTTTACGAGTCTAAATTTTTTTGGTGTCCTCCAAGATATGATGCTCTCTAAGCTTTATAGGTTAATCCGGAACTGCCTCAAGTAGGGCATAAAACAAACTTACCCGTTCTCATCCGAGTCAAGGGTTGGTGCGTCGTCAGGAGAATCACAGCGCTTCATGGACGTGCCAGATAACGCCTCGCGGACTTTGCTCACTATCACTTCGACGTCGTTCTGGAAAAATAGTAAAAACACGTCTTTTTAATACCCATAGCTGGTTTTGATAGTCTTTTTGGCCCTTAGAATCGTATGTTGTATCACCAGGCTCCTCTTTCCCAGAATGGTCTGGTGCCCCCCTGGATGTTGGGCTACTGATTTGAAGATGATAGTGGATAGCTATGATGCTAATCGCGTGACATGGCATGTCACTCATGCCCCCCCCCCCCCTCAGCGTTGCCAGTTTTTTTTTTCGCCAAGTCGGGACTTTGGTACTTTTTGAGTGAAAATAGCGGGATTCTTCCGTCAGAAGCGGGACATAGTAAAAANATAGCGGGATTCTTCCGTCAGAAGCGGGACATAGTAAAAAAACGTATACAATCAAAGGTTTTCAAATATTTATCTTTTTATTTGACTTGAAATTACGTTTACACTCTATCGTTTCGTATGCGTCTTTAGAATAAAAAAAGAAAAATCAAAATTAAAAAAGTTTTATTCTTTAGAATAATATGGCGTTTCAAGAAAAATCTGGTGAAGTTAGTGTCTCTCTCCGAAAAGCGGGACCGAGCCTGTCCCGCGCGGGACATTTAAATTTGATTTAAAAATCGGGACGTCCCGCCAAAATCGGGACGTCTGGCAACGCTGCCCCCCCTCCCCCTCTAGAAAAATACTCGTCAATAGATGCCGTTTTTCGTAACGTTGCTTTTTTATGACCCTTTAAGCAGTGGAGGCGTAGCATGGGTTGGCACCCGGGGCGATCACCCCCCACCCCCCCTATCATGACATAGACCGCAGACTTGTCATGCAGATGCGCAATTTAGTACTTATCTGCGCGACTTGTGTCACCCCCTGATGCTTGGTGGCACCCAGGCGTTAAAGACTGCCCCGCCTCCCTAGGCAAGTGGCAAAACGTAACACGAAGCGAAAAAAACAACGCCGGAGCAAAGGGTTCCAAAATCGACAGTTGTCACATTTTGCCACTCATCCATGGTAGGTAGGTGTATAGATCGTGGTTACACAGGAGATGCAGCGGTGGGAACGAGAGGAGGGAATAGTCCCGTTGTCTAGCATAGCAACTGTGTACCATACCTAAAGTCCGGTCGCCGAGCAGATAGAATTTCGTCCAATGACCCCAAGCTACCCATCCTTATCGCTCGCGCGTAATTATATTGCTGTCGCGACAGTGCGACGGGCGGCTGCAGTGAGTGTGCGAGCCGATTGGACGAAATTCTATGTGTTCGGCATAGCTGGGCACCGTTAATCAAATAGTTAACTTCGTTAATCGTTAAACCGTTAATAAAAAAATTAACTTCGTTAAACGTTAAAACGTTACATTTCGCAAGATTTAACGCAAGTTAACGTTAATCGTTAATCCGTTAACACATGATAATAAAACGAAAAAAATAATTGTATGCAAGGTTCAAATAATTTCGAAAGCTTGTATCGCGCATGGAATTTATTCTTCTTTTATGTTTGCGCTACAAGCTTTCGAAATTATTTGAACCTTGCATAAGTACCTACCTACAATTATTTTTTTCGTTTTAGTACAACTGCATTTCGGAATAAAAGCTTGTTTTTAAAAAGTTTTTAATAGGCTAAGTGGATGACAAAATTTCAATTATTTGTCCGTCAGACAGATAGGTAATTAGAAAATATTAGACTCATATTTTTTATTTTCTTTCATAATTAAATAATAACAGTGCTACATCGAGTTGAAATGGCGCGATACGTCACGCTTGAGTAGAATTTTTACTCAAAAGTGACGTCACGCGACATTTCAACAATATAATACGTAATTATTGGATTATGGAAAAAATTAAAAAATGTGAGTCTAATATTTTCTAATTATCTGTCCGACGGACTAAATAGAATTTCGAGTTAAATACCCAGTCATCATCCCTATTATTATAATTTTATTTTACACTTTTTAGTAGTATCTCAATCTCAGAGCCTTAGTTCAATTACAATACAATTTAGCACCAAAGTGCTCGAAAAGACAAATCCAGCAAACACAAACTCGATAGGTTTCCATCGTTTCGTTTAGGAATTCCTATGGCCACCTCCTGACTCCATCATCAGGACCCTGGACATCTAGTACTAGATACTAAAGTGCTCGAAAAGACAAATCCAACGAACCCAAATTCGATGCGATGCCGCCGTTTCATTTAGGAGTTCCTATGGCCACCTCATGACTCCATCATCAGACCAGCTCAATGATACCATAACATTGCATTGTCATCGTACTTACATACAAAATTTCAGCTCAATCGGTTGAGGAAAACTGGTCTTAAATTCAATTGCAAGAGTTGTCCCACACATACTAACAAGTGTCGTTAGTGATCTGGTCACAAAAACTGTTGTTTTGGGTTCTGAAGTTCTAGAAGTTCATGTTTTAAGCAAAAAAAAAAAAAAAGCCCGAACATACTTGTTAGAACGCGTTTTTCTAGCGTTTTTCAGCGTGCCTGCTGTATCTTTTTGGTAAATAGTAGGTACTGGATTAACGATTAACGGACTTACTTAACTTAAAAGTTAATCCGTTAATAGAAATGTTAACTTCGTTAATTAACGATTAACGGATTAACGAGTTAATGCCCAGCTATGGTGTTCGGCGACCGGACTTTCACGTGTAGTTTCAAACACAAATCACATGCGTCTCTTCACAAAAGTGAAGTGCTTTTTAAAAGCCTACTTGCAAAAACAAAGTGAGTTTTCATACCTCATTGCTTCCGCAAGGCGCGCGCATCACGTGGTGCCTCGTGTGGCGCCTCTGAGCGTCGCACGCGCCGCACGCGCGCTCGCCGCATTGCACGCACGCGTAAACAAACCTGCGATGGTGTTGAAATTCTATTTTTGGACGAAGTGGAGCTATTGTTTGCATTTAATAATACCTAAAGCCTGGTCTGTGAGCACGTAGAATTTTATCCAATGACCCCAAGCTAGCCATCCTTATATCGCTCACGCGTAATTATATTGCTGTCGCGACTGTGCGACGGGCGCCCGCAGTGAGTGTGCGAGCGCGACAGCAACATAATTACGCGCGAGCGATAAGGATGGGTAGCTTGGAGTCATTGGACAAAATTCTATGTGCTCGGAGACCGGGCTTTAGCTTTCCGTCCGCGGCTTCTTTCGGGGTTTTCCCGGAAATTATTCGAATTTTTCTTCCATTCAACGAACATTAAAAAAAATTTAGTAAAATTGGTCCAGGCGTTGTTGAGTTATGCGCTTATCAACACATTTTGCGATTCATTTTTATATTATTATTATAGATTAGTTACATATTGGATTGCAAAGTAAACGGCGCATTTAATTTCTTTATTAAGGCCGGGTAACAGAGAAAATGGCGAAAATGAGGTTTTCATTTTTCATTTTTGAGGTACTAAACAGTAAAATAAAAGGCTAAGATTTTTTTTGAGCATAGTTGAGGATATTTTCTAGGGCTATTAACGGATGGAAACACGATTTGATGAAGTTGACTCGATAGAATAAATTCCCAAAGTTACCTCTATTCGTTTTCTAATAATGGTTTTATTTTTAAAATAAGCGATTTGAGATTCTGAATCTTTTACTAAACTAAAGTTCAGAAATAACTTGAGGGCTTTTAACGGATGAAATTTTTATATTGCGTCTTATTTAGTTACTATGTTAAAAAATGTGGAAAAACAGTGTTGTTCTTGATACGGCAATTGCCGTAATATACGGCATTTAGGCCTCGTAGGCACCATAAATACGGTATACGGCAGCACTTCCATTACCGTATCAAAATATACGGCAATTGATTAAGGTAGAGTTTTATGAGTTTTTCATGAGTTTTAGTAAAAAAAAAAATATTTCATTTAATGGAACGCACCAACTTGTAAACCATATAAAAGAAACGTCAACATAATTCAACCAAATGCAACCTTATCTCCGAGATGTTAATGTCTAAAATCGTTTGGTCTTCATTTTGGTAGATTCTTCACTTTTATTCGGGTCGGTTCTAGGACTAAACTATTTATTCAAAACCTTTATAAGTGAAGAATAAGTTTAAAAGTAGTAAGTGTACGTACGCATAGTATAGTTCCAAAATACTGGACTGTCCTGTCGATGACATTGACAGTGGGGCGCCACCGTCAATACCGGATCGCTGGTTCAGATTTTTGTCATGTTAGAAACCATATAGTTGAACGATGGTAGCGCCCCCCTGTCATTGAGTTTGGTGGGACAGTTCAGCGTGGGTCATCTATACATAATACATCATTTGTATTTTTTTTATTTAAACCTTCCAAATAAACATTTTGCACAATACGGCAATTTTTCTTAGTTTTCCTTAAAAATACGGCAATTTTAGAATTAGAATACGGCAACCCTAAATTTGTCAGGAACAACACTGGAATTACCCTTTCGAATTCAAGACAGTGCAGTTTCCCATCAGTCTGCTTCGTAATGACTATAAACAAAGCTCAAAGTCAAACTCTAGGGACCTCTGCTTAAACTCCCATGAGTGCACAGAGGTACGCAGGTAACCGCGTGTGATGCTTATAGCAATTTTCGATAGGTACAGAACCCCGTACATACGTCATACATATTATAGAAAGAAAACACCCAGACCAATACAAACAAATATGTTTCTGCAATTTTAGTATGATATTTTTATTTATTAATAAACAAAGAGACTGAACAAAATTGATGCGTACCTATACTGATTAATGTTATTAACCACATGCAAAGCTTCGTGAATTGCAACAACTATAATTAAATTTATTATCCAAGCTCTAAATAATCGCTACTAAGAGTAACTTATCATAAAAAAAATCCAATCGCTCAAGCTCCCAAGGGCCTACCGATAGGTCGGGTGACGTAATCTTGAAATTCTTTAAGCCGGCGCAGAACTTCCAGAAGGTCGGGCGACGCCACGGGCACTTTGAACAGTGTTTACTTCTGCAGTTATATTTTATATTTATTCGATTCTAGAATATATTCCCAAAAAGTCTGAAAGGTGTTTTAATTTGTATCACTTGGATATGATTTCTATTAGAAAGTGTTGTGAGTGTGACGCTTGAAAGGAAGGAAGTCAACCTAACCTAACCAACTGCGTATTTCTATACTGTGTAGCTGGAAATTGTGGCGGGAGCTCTTTGACGCGCTGTTTTCGGCGAAGAATTGCGCGCGCAGATTTTGACAGCGCGAAATACCTACTTTAGAAGAAATACCAAGCCTTAAGTAGGTATAGATCACGCAACGAGAGTTGAGGCTATCAACATAAGCAAAGATTTGTATATGCTGTCTGTGCTGAGACAATTTTTTTTTGTGGCTGAGAAGTCTTGCGTACTTTCACTGACAAGTGCTTTCGGTCTCGCTTGCAGACATTTAACAAGAGCGAGCTAGCTGTGTATTCAATATTTAAACTTCAATCGACTCAACTTTCGTTGAGCGACCTATGCTTTCGTAGGTACTTCATTTTTATCGTGCCTTCGGGCCCTCGCCCACGGCGACTTTTTGTAGCGATGCAGTCGCGCTGGCTGTCGCGCGTTGGCATCACTTCTGTAGTGCGTTGCAAATGCGACTAACGCGTGTTAGTAGTGATTCTGTAGCGCGTTTACGAATCGTTGGCAGTTTATTCACTCTGACAAATGCTAAAATTACTTAAAATCTCACCCCGTGATTGCTATGCTGCACAGACCGCATCTCACAAATTGCTTAGGCTCCTCGGGTTGCTCGTGGCGTGTATCCGTTCCCTCTATAAACAAAGAAATGATATTGATATTAATGTATAATAATAAAATATGTATATTAAATTAAATATGTAAGATCAAAGTGAATCACCACGAACGCAACGGATGCCAGCCCTAAGGGTTTTTTCCCTCCCATTTTTTGCAAAATCCCGTTTAGTAAACGTGTTTTAATATAAAGTTCACACGAACATCCCATGTGTTTGTAAAAAACGGACCCGTTCGAATTTTAATTCCAATTTCAAACACACTTGTGTTCACATGAGTTCACATGACAGACCAGTCACTAAAATTTGTGGTCCAGTGCTGCAAGATCCTGCATTCCCAACATGGAGCCAATAATTTAACCACCTAAATAAAAGCCCCAGGCCGATGAGAACTGTCACGTTATGTCAATACTCTAGGGGCTGGGTCCGATTGCTAGTGGTGCTAAATGGCGACGAGGATAGAGTGTTACAACCCCATCGAGTTAACTGCGCACCTGGCGGCTGTGACGTCACATCGACGCTCTGGTGACGTGGGTGAGTGCGAGGGTTTTCATTCCATTCCAGCAAAGGTGCACAGTTAGCTCAATCGGGTTGTAAATTGGTGTTTAAAAGTACATTTTTTGCGTTACATTTATTCACTGGTATCAACATTATTAGTATTTTATTATTGTAATCACCGTTGTTCCGTTGCTCTTTTTCATCAATTTCCTTCATTTCTATTTCTGAGACACATTCGAATACCCTGTTTTTTATGATAGATTGATGTCTTTCCGAAAACTTTTTCACAGTCGCCGCTATACTTTTAAAGAACCTTTCTATGTCTTCGTCTCTCTTTTCTTTATTTTTTTGTTCAACCAGAAACTTCATCAAATCCGATGTGGGTATGTGATCGGTTACGGTTTGTTTATTTGTTTCTAAGTTATTAGAACATAGAGGTGTACTTGTATTAGTTGATATTAAAGGGTCTTGTGTAATATTTGTCCTGGGCGTCTCCGGTTGCTTATTGTAGATTAATTGAGAATTTTCATTTGAATCATCCTTTTCTATTGGACCTGAAACATTAAATCATGCTGTTTGGTAATGCTATTACATTCGCCTTTTTTTCTTAATTAAGGCCCGATTCGACCAAACTTTTATGCGAGAATAACTCCTGGTATAACTGGCATATTGACAGTTTCAGTATGGGAAATATGTCAAAACTGACGATTTATTCTGAGATTAATATTTAATCTTGTTTGGTCGAATCCACCCTAATTTGCATTTGCAAGAAATCTCTAACTACGCTGCTGCCTGGGGCAGTGCAGTTTGCGCTTACCGTGTGGTGTTTCTTCTTCCAAATCAAGAATAATATTTGAAATGCTCGTGTTTGAACCTTGTTCAGTAACAGGCATAGTTTGACCTCGTCTGGAAAAAAGAATAATCAGAATTATTAATAAGTTCATCATCAACCACACGCCTTTCAGGGCCACGAGGAGAAAACCTCTATAAAATACAACTGAGGAGGGGATTTGTTGGCTTTAGCCGGACATGTTTGGCTTTTTTCCGTCTTGTCAGGCCAAATATATATTGTCTTGTCCGGCCTGTCTGGCTTTTTATTTGGCTGCCGCGCCAGGCGAAAGTCGAGCCACAGAATAATATGTAGCGCACGCATCAGGACGTTGGGCAACCGATGATGATAGTACTCACTCGTGAGCTACGACAATAATTGCAAAACTGGCAAACGCCCCTCCCCCCAGTCACTTGTCCGGCTTTTAGGATAAAATGGTCCGGCCAAATGAAGCACGAGTCCGGCTTTTGTGTTTTTGGACCTGGCAAACTAATTGGGGGTTCCTCGAAGCCCGAGAGGCTCGCCCGTGCCGTGAGCGAGCGGGCATGGGCTTCATTGCACCTGAGTGGCATTATTGTGGCTAGGGTTGCCAGGCGTCCGGATAAAGCCGGACATAGGCTTTTTGATTGCGTGTCCAGCCAAAATAAACGGTGTCCGGCCTGTCCGGCTTCTGTTAGGCTTTTTATTTAGCCACAGAATAATATGAAGCGCACGCATCAGGACGTTGGGCAAGCGATGATTATAGTACTCACTTGTGAGCTTGCACCTCCCCCCCCACCGGTCACACGTCCGTCTTTTAGGGTAAAATGTCCGGCCAAATGAATCACAGAGTCCGGCTTTTATGTTTTTGGGCCTGGCAACCCTAATTGTGGCGCCGCCGCTGTCGATACAGCGAATTCAGAAATTAACAGAAGACAATTCACTTTGCATACCTACTCTCGGCGGTCCGGCTAGGGCTGTCAACTTTGGCTTCACTTAAAGGTTTTCTCTTTCGAGGAATATCTTTTAAAAGGTGTAATGGAGTTTCCACTTGATCATTTGTTTGAGAATCATAATCACATTGCACATTTGCATCGGCTGTTTCAAATATTGCTTGAATTCCTTTATTTGCAAAATTTTTCGGTAATGGTAGGAGCAGTTGCGGAATTGATGTTTTTTTTAACGACTTTCGATTTGAATGAATTAAAATGCAGTTGGGACGAAAATGAGCTTCACACACGCGTGTACGAAAGCAACTTGAATCTATTAAATCTTTTCTGTGGATCACTCTTAGCCACTCATTTCGCCTGAAACAAGATAAGAAAACTATGTTAAAAAATACCGTAACCAGGTTAAAACGAACCATTGAGATATAAGCAAATACCTACTTACCTCTCAGAATTAAGTGGTAGATTAAAAAACGACAAGTCACAATTTAATGTTGAATTTAAACAGCCCTCCACTGAACAATTATAATAACTTCTCTTTTTTTCCTCCATTTTTGCACAAAAAAAGTTCACATGTCTCAAGCACTCGCGCTCACACTAGTTCAGACTGGTTCACTTCACGACCGAAGGCAGATCTTTTTGGTGCTTCTGCATATTAGACTTGCAAAATGGTTGTTTAATGACTGTGTGTATGAATAATACTAGAAAAAATATTATAAATTATTTAGTTATTTCCTACATTACTCGGTACCAATAAATAATACTCATACAAAGTACCTACCGAAAAAAATATAATAATAATAATAATAATAATAAATCGTTTATTTGCTCAGAAACATGGTAACAAAATGGTCGATATATTTTCATTTATTTCAAGGAGTCTTGTAAATAAAAAAATACTAGAATTCCTACCTATTTAAAATTTTATAGGCCTTTTATGGTTGGAATAAGTCGCACAAATAAAACCTCTCACCTATAGGTACCTACATAAAAATAAAAGTGGATAAATAAAGGAGCCTTCTCCTATAGATTCATCAATCATGATTTTTTTATACATATTACATACTTTGTCAGTCTAACATCTATACCCCATTGATTTGATGAACTTTTGGTGGGGTAAAATGTGCACTAATGTAACTACTACCTTTTCATTACTTACATTGACTCCTTGGGATAAACGAAGAATGAAATATATTTTCTTCTGATGATGAATGGAAGACAACTAATCAAACAAACAGTAAGTATAGCTAGAAACCATTTTACAAATCCAGAATACCTAGATGCACTTTAACACAATTTCGTAACAACTTCACATTCACAAATCGCAGCCTTCTGTTATCTTTTTTGTACCCTAGCAGACACTAGCAGAGATGGATGATGATCAGCTGGCTGAGCAAGCAAGCCAAATGCCAACAAGCTGTCAATGTCAAATACATCGTAGCGTATCCAAATAAAATAAGTTTGGAGCACTTTAAATACCAATACTGCAACAAAAAAATGCAATCCTACAAAAATAAAAATCGTCTTCTTTGCACTGAATCGTTTAACTAGGTACCTAAGATTTTAATTTTGTCGCATTAAACTTCAAATGTACTGTTGTTATGTTGGTAACTTATTCATTCCGTAATTATTAATGTGTTGACAGTGTTGCCAGAAGGTTACTTTTGTAACCTTTTAGGTTACTTTTAGGTTACACTAATGAAAAGGTTACTTTTAGGCAGTGTTGTTCCTGACAAATTTAGGGTTGCCGTATTCTAATTCCAAAATTGCCGGATTTTTAAGGAAAACTAAGAAAATTGCCGTATTGTACAAAATGTTTATTTGGAAGGTTTAAATTTTAAAAAATACATGTGATGTATTATGTACTATGCGTATACTACTTTTAAACAGTTTTAAACTTACTTATTTTATTCTTCACTTTTTAAGGTTTTGAATAATTTAGTCCAAGAACCTACCCGAATAAAAGTGAAGAATCTACCAAAATGAGGAAATAACGATTTTAGACATTAACATCTCGGAGATAAGGTTGCATTTTTGGCGTTTCTTTTCGTGGCGCTTCTATTTCATCTATGGTTTACAAGTTTTTGCGTTCCATTAGACGAAATATTTTTTTTTGTTTACTAAAAGTCATGAAAAACTCATAAAACTCTACTTTACTCAATTGCCGTATATTTTGATACGGTAATCAAAGTGCTGCCGTATACCGTATTTATGGTGCCTAAGATGCCTGAATGCCGTATATTACGGCAATTGCCGTATCAAGAACAACACTGCTTTTAGGTGATTTTTCAGAAATTGTAGAATTAACTTTTACAGGTTATTCAGTAAAAAATATTAATAGTGACAATTTAAAAATTATGTCATAAACTGCATTTAAACATGAATTTGATTTATATTTTGTTAAAGAAAATGAATTTTAGCGAATGTTTTTCGATAATAAAACGCAAATCCAGGAAACGGTTTTATACGACCGGTCACTTTTCGGTCTTCATGGAATGATCCATGAAGACCGAATCCATTCCATCCATGAACAACCTTAACACAATCTCCCCCCCCCCCCCCGTATGAAGGTTACTTTTTATTCAAAAGGGTTACTTTTTTTTATATTTCTGGTAATTTCTGACAAGACCCGACTGGCAACACTGTGTGTTGATTACTTGATTGGTGTTGATAAAAGCCAAAATATTTTTAGTGTAGGAATTAGGAATATACTTTTTACAATGTAAAAATTATCTAGTACGTTATTTCGAAGCGCACAACGACCAAAATTGTCCAGCATAATTTTTTTTGGATTCCTTGGCGCTTTTTACCTGATTTCGTAAGTAGAGGCTGTGTTTTAGAACTAGAAGCAGGCGTAACACTAGTTCTTGGAACCAGCAGCGAAGAAGTAGATTCTGCCTGATCCGCTTCTAACTGTTTCACTTCTCTTTTTATTTTCATTAAAGTTGTTTTTGATATTCCAGTAGCAGCACAGGTTCTTTTGATGACTTGGTCCACAGGAATAATAAATCGTTTATTTGCCTTTTCCGATTCAAAAAACTTAAGCACCTTTAGGATCATGTTTCTAGCTTCATCATGAATAGTTTTGCCCATATTGTGTCTTCAAGTCTTTTAGGCGATAAAAATAGTTCAGACACTTAACGAAAATACTAAATCACAACTAATCTACGACAAAACAAGTTCAAAACTTATCCAAAACAAAACAACCGGCGCAATGTTAACGCTAAAACTCGGGAACCGTGCTGAATGAACTGAGACTGACAGATTACGACTTGGCGAACGGCGAACGAGGGGAAGGTGTGCGGGTAAGTGGGAGGGGATCGCATTCCAGTCAGGTGCGCAGAGCCCCGATTACGGTAACTTTTAACGTCAACAATCCAGACACGCTTCTCGATTCTGCGATACGATTGGTCGTTCAACAGCGTACGTCAGCTGTTTTGACCAATCGTATCGCAGAATCAGAAACGCGTCTGGACTGGATTGTAGACGTTATAAAAGTTACCGTAATCGGGGCTCTGGTACGGACGGGGCGAAAGTGGGGAGGTGTGCGGGTAAGCGGGAGGGAGAATTGCATTCCCGCGAGGTCTCAAACTACCAATCGATCAACGTGGAAAGCATTAGGGGAGGCCTATGTTCAGCAGTGGACGTCCTATGGCTGAAATGATGATGATGAGGTCTCGAACTGGATGTCGATCAGTCAGCATCTAGCACGAAAAACTTTCAACTTCGAATCGTTTGCATATTCGACGAAATTTGATACTCAGTCTTAGAATACAATGTTAATGTGACGATCTCGAATTCGATTGTCAAAATTGTTTCGTACTACTATTTTTTATACTATTTTTTTATTTTTTATAGTAAATTAATTTTCGTCACGTTTTAATATCGAATCGTTTGCGTATGCGAATCGCTCAATCGCCCCATGCCCTTGTGACATTTGTTTTATTATCGAGATCGAATAGTGTGGTAAACATGACTTTATTTAAATTTTAAACTTGTATGAGAAATGGTAGCACGAAATTAATTTTGAAAATCGAGATCGTTACGTTAATTATCACCGTCAATGTGGTAAAGAGAAGGTTGAATAGTCGATAGCTTTTCGTGCTCGAGGCACTGATAGTAAGTGACGCAGGTAGGCTGAGGTAGGGGATACACACAAATGTGCCATGCTTGTGTAGTAGTGTATTTTGTACCTCCGATGACGCCGCAGCGACGCGCGGTTATCAAATCTCATTTCTTACCTAGTTTTTAAAAAGTGTGAAATAAAAATTATTTTTCTAAATAAACCATTATTTATTAATCAGTCAATATTTAAAATAATTCTTTAATAATAATATTTAGTATTTATGACGTGTAAAACCCATAAAAGCAAATAAATATTTTGATTTGATTTGATTAAAGCGCTTGCTGCGGACGGAGACCCAGCTTCGGTATTGGGACTGGAACAATAGAAATGCAATTATTTATATTACAAGTTAGTAACAATAACGGTCATAATAATAATACATTTTATGTGAATCAAATTAGCCTTAATGATGGTGCAGTCCTGTTGTCCCCCCTGCTTGGCCCCCCTGGGGGAGCCAACAGGATTTCGAAATCCTGTTGTCCCCCCTGGCTAGGGGAGACAACAGGACTAGATTTTCAATCAATGATTTGAGGACTGTTGTCCCCCCTGGAAAACATTGGGTATTTAGAAGCCATATATTTTTGTAACATTTAAGAAGTTCTGGAGTACCTGACTAAATGCCATATTGCCAAACTAAATACCTAAACGTATGTCAAATAATAATTAACATTTTGTTAACGAAAAAAATATAAGTTGTTGGTACCGGTAATATTTCTGACTATTCCAAAATCTGCTTTACTTGCTTTTCTATACTTATAATAAATCTGTAGAGAGGTCAATTCTGTACATGAAATATATTTTCAAAATAACTATCAGGGGGTGATTAGTGATCGATACTGATGCCAAAAATGCAATCAGTAAATTTTTTGTCTGTCTGTCTGTCTGTCTGTCTGTCTGTATGTTCCTTATAGAAACAAAAACTACTCGACGGATTTTAACGAAACTTGGTACAATTATTCTTCATACTCCTGGGCAGGTTATAGGATACTTAGGAATTCCCACGGGCACGGGAATTAGCGGGAAAATCCTTTTGTATGAAAAATCTAAACTGCTTAAGTTAGACGCTTGAAATTTGGCATGCAGTTACATTAGTAAACTTAAAGCTTAGTTACAACAGGATATTGCAAAATTCCCACGGGAACGGGAGTTAGCGGGAAAAAACATTTGTATGAAAAATCTAAACCGCTTAAGTTAGACGCTTGAAATTTGGCATGCAGGTACCTTAGTAAACTTAAAGCTTAGTTACAACAGGATATTGCAAAATTCCCACGGGAACGGGAGTTAGCGGGAAAAAACATTTGTATGAAAAAATCTGAACCGCGTAAGATAGATGAAGGGGGTAAAACGGGATCCACGCGTACGAAGTCGCGGGCGGCCGCTAGTAAATAATATAATACAAGTAAATGCGAAAGAAACTTTATCTGTCTGTCTGTTACGAATTCACGCATAAATCATTGAACCGATTTTGATATTTGGTAACGAGATAGTTTTGAGTCCCGGGAAAGGACGTTGGACAGTTTTTATCCCGGTTTTTTAGACAGGAATGCGCTCTATATATTTTTTTTGTGACAGAAAAAAATTTACGTTGACAAAGCTGTAAACAAAAGCTAAGTAAGTATATGCTATTCTCATGTATAAAAAATAGTCTTCTGTAAAGTTGACTAAAAATCCGTTTAGTAGTTTTTACGTGAAAGAGTATCAAACATCTATACTATTCCATACTCACAAATTTTCGCATTTATAATATTAATACGTAGGACGCTAAAACTGCATAATTTTAAATAAATCATAATAATTTTCAACAAATTAATCGCTCAGTGATTCAACTAGCGGCCGCCCGCAACTTCGTACGAGTGGAGTCCGTTTTACCCCCTTATGTGTGGAATTTCGTAAAATCCTATTATATGCTTCGTATTATTTCCTATCCTTAAATAAAAAGATAAATAAAATCCGTTCTTGGCAGATGTCTACACCCTATAAGGAACCTACCTGCCAAATTTCAAGTTTCTAGGTGTCAGTACCAGCACCAACCACCAACACCTTATTTTTTTCGTTATCAATTTTATTATTTGACAAACGTTTAGGTAGTAGGGCAAAAAAAGAATGAGACATGTATAGGCTCCATAAGAGCATTTGACGATTTTCAAGTACTAATTTAATTAGTCTAAACCTATATAAAGATAATTTTGATTTTGATTTTATCAAAATGGTAATTATTATTTAACAAACGTTTAGGTATTCACTCAGTTTGGGAATTTGGCATTCAGTCAAGTACTTCAGTATTTTACAAATTATGTTATAAAAATACATGGCTTTTAAATAATGTTTGTCAGGGGGGACAACAGTCCTCAAATCATTGATTAAAAATCCAGTCCGAGATTTTGGAATAGTCAGAAATATTACCGGTACCAACAACTTATATTTTTTCGTTAACAAAATGTTAATTATTATTTGACATACGTTAAGGTATTTAGTTTGGCAATATGGCATTTAGTCAGGTACTCCAGAACTTCTTAAATGTTACAAAAATATATGGCTTCTAAATACCCAATGTTTGCTAGGGGGGACAACAGTCCTCAAATCATTGATTGAAAATCTAGTCCTGTTGTCTCCCCTAGCCAGGGGGGACAACAGGATTTCGAAATCCTGTTGGCTCCCCCAGGGGGGACAACAGGACTGCACCAAAAATTGGCTATTTGGGAACGACCCGAACCCAGCCAGTGCAGCGCTTCCTGCGCCCTAATCTATAGTAAATTCCTACTAAGTTCTCAGCACTTGCCAAATGTTGGTCTTATGATACCTCCATGGTCTTATGGTTGGTCTCGAATCGCTGGTAGGGAAAAAAGATGAGATGAGATTATGAGACATGTGAAGGCTCCAAAGGGCAAAACTGATTTTTTAATTAGTCTTTTATTTTCAACTAGCTGTGTCCGCGACTTCGTACGCGTTGAGTCTACATTTTAGCTAGAAAACGTTTGTATGGAAAAAAAGGGCTGTTTTTAGAGTTTTCCCGGAAATTATTCGATTTTTTCTCTCCGTAAAAACCATCCTTGGACTTCAATGAACATTAAAAAAAGAATTGATAAAATTGATTCAGGCGTTATTGAGTTATGCGCTTTATACCAACACATTTTGCGATTCATTTTTATATTATAGATATTTGACGATTTGTAAGCACTTATAGTCCATGCAAATAAAGGATTTTTTTTAAACCAGCAGATAGTGACTGAGTTTCCCATTCCATACTAAAGTAATGCGAGATTTAAAAGAAAAAAAATTGGAATCCTCGTTCAAATTAAAAATTACGGATTTTGTTACCTTCAGATTTTTTTCCCCGGGTCTTTAATCGCTGATGTCTTTGAACATTTTGCATACGTGCGAAAGGAGCACCTGCGGAGCACATTATAACGGGTTACCTTCACCATATCGAATTACATTTTGATCGAAAATCAAAATATCGAACACGTTTCATCGAACGATCAAAATATCGAATGATTAAAATATCGAAAGTAGATCTTATGTGGCATAGTTAGGAAGATGCAGGTAAGGGTTCCTTGTTGACTATGGTACCCTAAAGTGGGAAATAAAAAAATGTGTGCCTACTTAAATGTTTTATTTACATTAATCATATGATGTCATATGACATTTAGGTAACTAATTAAATAAATCCTCTATATTGAGTTTTCGATATTTTGATCGTTCGATCATTTTTGTAAATTCGATATTCTGAACGTTCGATATTTTGATCATTCGATATTTTGATTTTCGATCAAATGTAATTCGATATGGTGAAAGTAACCCCATTATAACAATCTATACTATTACATTGTATCACCATGTTTTAAGCAACTAAAATTATATGATTTGAACCTTTTAAGCGGAGGCCTCCAGTTCTCGATGACTGCTGGCGACGCTAGCGGCTCGGTGAACAGACGGCTTTCAAGCCAAGGTGAAGGAAAGGTTATTGATGGCAATGATTGTGCCTGCGTGTCTATAGGACTCTCATCAGGAGGTTCTGGCTTGGTGAACAGACGGCATTCGAGCGAGGCCGAAGGAAAGGTTATCTCTGGCTCTGGCGATGGTTCNCAGGAGGTTCTGGCTCGGTGAACAGACGGCTTTCAAGCCAGGGCGAAGGAAAGGTTATCTCTGGCGACGGTTGTGCCTGCGTGTCCATGGGATTCTCATTAAGCCGATCTGGCTTGATGAACAGACGGCGTTTCAGTGAGGCCGAAGGAAAGGTTATCTCTGACGATGGTTGTGCCTGCGTGTCTATAGGACTCTCATCAGGAGGTTCTGGCTCGGTGAACAGACGGCATTCGAGCGAAGCCGAAGGAAATGTTATCTCTGGCGATTGTTCTTCCAGCGTGTCTATGGGATTCTCATCAGGACCTTCTGGCTCGGTGAACAGACGACATTCGAGTGAGGCCGTAGGAAACGTTGTCTCTGACGATGGCTGTGCCTGCGTGTCTATAGGACTCTCATCAGGAGGTTCTGGCTTGGTGAACAGACGGCTTTCAAGCCAGGGCGAAGGAAAGGTTATCTCTGGCGATGGTTGTGCCTGCGTGTCTTTGGGACTCTCATTTAGCCGTTCTGGCTCGGTGAACAGACGGCTTTCGGGAGAAGCCGAAGGAAAGGTTATCTCTGGCGATGGTTCTACCAGCGTGTCTTTGGGACTCTCATCAGGAGGTTCAATGGACAGACGACGTTCCAACCAGGGCGGATTTTCATCAGGCGACTCCGACTTAATTTTCATTTTTGGTACGACCTGAAATAAAATTCTATATGAAACCTTTGGACCGACGATCTGGTGAAGGTCGCGGGAGGTGCCTGGATGCGAGCGGCGCAGGACCGTCTTCGTGGAAATCCTTGGGAGAGGCCTTTGTCCAGCAGTGGACGTCTTTCGGCTGAAACGACGACGACGACGATGAAACCTTTCTGTAAGCTTATTTTTTTGGTAATTCACTGAAATTCCCGAAATATTGACATTACACCCATAAACTTTTATTATTGTGAGGTTAAGTTTGTAAACTACAAGAGTATTTAAAAAACATTTCTCTATCTCCATCTCAAAACTACCTAATAAAGAGGCATTCAAAAACTTTCTTACCGCCATCTTTTATTTGTCTTTGGCTCCGTTTAAAAACGTAGAAAGCATTCAAAATAGAAGGCCGTGTTATAAAGCTTTGAAAATACAGAAGAATACTAAATACTCGACATTTTGACCTAACCTACAACCCGGTCAAGTTAAGTGCACCTCCCTGGAATGCCAGTCCCTCGCACG